TTGTTGTGTTTGAAAAAAAAAAAGCTATTTGCATTGAAAGTTATTTTTAATTGGTTTCGATAAAACATTAAGAAAATAATATTTACTTGAAAGATCATCATTCTATTATACACATATATATATATATATATATATATATTCTCTTTAGATTTCTTTTTCATATTATCAATAAGATAACATGACAAGTAAGTTTCTTAACAAAATTATTGCATATTAAAACAGAATCTGCAATGAATTATATTGTTTTGAGTAAAAAGAAAGTAATAATTTAAATAAATCCTTTAGCAAAATAAAAATATTATTTTTATTTTTATTGTTATTGTTATTTTTGAAATATGACTACATGTTTCCTTTCATTCACAAGTTATGATTTAAAACTTTAAAATAATTTTAATTTTTTAATAAGAAAGATTTTTTGAATTTCACATTAATTGTTTAAGTTAAATGCCAAAAACAATTGAATATTGAAACAATAATTTTTATTTATCAATTTATTCAGAACTGTCTAGTTTTATAAAAAGATTTCGTGCATAATTGTTTTTTTTTGGAAAAGTAAAGTTTATTTTATTTTATTCTATATCAATAATTAAATACTATTTCAATTCTAAATTATTCAATATAGGCCTGTTATAAAGTTTTTTTAGAAATGAGAACCTATTTTTTGATGTATTAATATTTATTTTCTATATTTTTTGACACACAATCTACTATGTTGAAAATAAGGTTTTTAATATTTCTTAATCATTATAAAATATTTCAATAAGCTCTAAGTTTCATTCCTATGTTTTTATTATGGAAATATATATATATATAATAACAAATAATAAGTAATGGTAAATGGTACTGATCTCCATGCTCAGACCACTATCCATTCTATTACAGAAACATTAAGGAAAAAGGATAGGAGGAAAGTCTTGTGTGAGGGTAAGCCTCCTTTCATATGGCCGCCTACTATGTGTCCAGCGAAAATTTTGAACTTTTTCAACTTTTTCCACCTAAGGGTCATCGACCAAACTCTCATGTATGCTAAACTCGCTGAGACTAAGTAACACCTGCTCAATAGGAAACTACTCTTGCTTGACAATCGCAGTGTAGAAATACTTGCAAAACTCTGATGTATTGAATCGCTACATCATATGAACTTCGTTCACTTTCCACACACTTCTATAAGTTTATTAAAGAATGTGAAAAAAGCTAAAAAGATTATTGATCTGAAAGTCGAACCTTGCAGAACAAGTTCATTGCTGAAAACTACTACCGGCCTTAAGTCGCCGATTTCAAGTCTAGGTGCGAAAGTGCGCCACACTCGATGAAGTTAACCGGCTAAAAAGTTACCGAATTTGGACAGAAGGCAGCTCACCAACCACTGCATCCTTACACATCTCTACCCCAACATCTTGCTGGAGGAGACTCGTAAGTGCCTGACGACGTTTCTTGTAGCTGGCCTTGAAACAAGCTTGTCTTAATCGTTTGGTTCGCTCCGCAAGCTCAGTACCGGGGCGTTCCTCCATTCGCTTCTTCTGATGCTCAAGTTCCTTGACAGCACTCATCACGGGCCCTGATGTCCCACCTTCAGGGCCCCTGGCCAACTCCTGAATAACAACGCATCTCAAAAACTTACAACTGTCTGAAACCATATGTTGACTACGAGTCGCTTTGGATGCACAAGGTAAAACTTTCTAAACAAAACTTCAAAATAGACATGAAAAAGACACAAAAATTTAATCAGCTCACAGAAATCCCAGGGAATCAACGAACACATTCAGACACACATCGAAAAAGTCTGCATGCTACGCAACTCTGAATTCCTTGCAGATAAAGAGGGCTCACGGTTATCATCTTCAAAGTAAGCAAGTCTGGACTCCCACCAACGGTCCATGATGTGCTTATCAGTTCTAAGCGGCCACTTAACAAAATCGGAAAGAGTCAAATGCTACATATGATTGAAAAGCCCTCATCTCAGGGACGCTAGAATTGTTTTCATAAATGAGAATATCAAGGAACCGTTAACATGACTCGGAATAAGCCACACCCAATCCCATACCAACATGCAAAGTCCAAGACGAAAAGTGACCTGTATATTTTGAATGAGACTATCCAAGCTCTTCATTTTGCGATGTGGCCACCTAGGGATCCCAAACTCCCGGCACCGTTTTTTCAATACAGTGAGACCAACTTTGAGCTCTTTGGAAGCTTGAGTGATAGGCATATGAAAGTACTGAGAAAGTTCATGCAAAGTGATCTCAGTCATCCGCTCTGTTGCTCCCCGCTGGTTGCACGGCTCAGCTCCCATTTCCAACATGGAATGACATTCGCCCACATGTCCAACATCGTGTCCAGGTTCTGAAAGCTCATACGAGCAGGGCTGATGCGTCAAAACCTCGCCTCTATGGTTTATAATCCTGCACTTTTGAGAATCAAATGGCAAAGCGGCGGAAGAGAAACCACCCTTTGGCCTGTCAGACCCAGCTGGTTCACTGAGACTTTCATCGCTGCAGTAGGACATTGCACTTTCTACAACCTTTTTCAGTAGAGGAGACCGTGGACTGACTCGATCAGACATTGTGGAACTTGTGCAGAGTGGACTTAAAAATAGATCACCATGACAGAGTGCTGGACTCTGTGAAGCATCACTAGAAGTTGTAAGCTTCATTTGGCCACAGTTGCTGTCATCAGAAAAAGGCAGTACTTCGTGAAAAGCGTAGGATCCTGCCATTTGAGACTCTAGAACCAGAGATGAGGGACTCCATGAAACAGGATCAGATTTGTTGTTGGACGCCACATTCGATATTAGGCATGAACTTGACATCAGCCCTACAAGATGAAACACCATTATGTATCCGATAGAAAACGTGATTATTCTTGAAGTAGAATCATAGAAATGTTTATAACCCAAACTACGAAAGTCGTGCTACTTCAAATGACAAACAATCTCCACCGACTACACACTAAATACCGACGTTTCAAAAATATCCTAATTTAGTTAAAGAAACAAGAACAAATTGTATAAACCTAACCTGTGAATGGCATGCTCGAGATGCTCGTACTCCAGGATGAACCTAAGACGCACGTCTCAAACATCCGAGGGCTTGCCAACTCAAGATCTGAACCCCAGTCATGCAAAGTTTCTGCTTGGGAATTACTCTCGCTTTGGACTCCATCATTCATACCCGCTGACTCGACAGTAAAACCGGAGAAGCCAGCAAGGCCCCATTTTGGGAAATTCCAAGTCAACTGTGAGCCATCAATGTAAGATTGCCCTCCACAAGCAGGAAAATGTTGTTGGGCATCCAAGCAATCCGGACCACGAAGGGGTATACATTGCTGATGTTCATGAGCTGGGATCTGTACAGCCTTCTCAACCAGGACTAGGTCTTCCGCCAGGCTCGGAATGTAATAAAGAGCCGGATTTCTGCACACGATTCAATTGCCACGTAAATTTGGCCTGCACGCTAGTGCACCAAATTAGACTAGATTGAGAAACAATTAACACGATCTACACCGTGGTTCCGTCGCAAAATATTGGTTCAAAAAGTACACGAATCCAAACCAAGGCACAGCCCCAAATACTATCAAAGTGAACTCCATCACACATACTTGGATACACTCAATAAAGGGATAATGGACGTATCCTGAGGCGTATGCACATGATACTCCAGCACGCATTGCCATAGGTCCGCTTCATTCAACTGCTTCAACGTGTCAATGAATTGTTTGGCACCATTATGAGCAAATCTGCTGAAATACGAAGGAATGGGTTCACTGATCTGAGTATAAACGTCTGGTGACAAAAGGAACTCTTGCTGCACAGCTGTGACAAAGCCGTCGTCCATATAAAGGTGCACACTCTTAATAAGTTCTGTAAAGAAAAAACAGAAATAAAACAAAGTCAAACACCAGGCTAAGCGCACAAAGAAAGGATCCAACGCATACATGAAAAAACTCGTAACAAATACGAGATATCTCATACACTGCAGTGTTGCATAAGTGCAGATTTCACACTGCTTTCTATCAAATTGCGCATTTGGAATGCTACTCTTAAACGTGCGCATTTCAAGAGAAATGATGCTCAAGCTCTCAAAACGGAATGGTGACAAAAGTAAAAATCGACTACATCCTTAAAACTCTGATTCATGACAACCATAACTTAATTTACCAGCATCCCGTTAACTGGATATTACGAGTCGAATCAAACATGAACCCAAACACGCACCTAAATTGGAGAAGTGCTGAAACACAGCCAGCGCACAAAGAGAACCATGGGCCGCGTTTGTAACAGGGACGCGCGTGTTCGAGCAACCCATGACTTCACTGGAACGCCAGCATACACACACACACATACACAAACGAAAACATCGTTAGACCAAGCAGCTAGATTATTCTCCATTCCTCGGGACTACAACCATCACACGCTTGCCATCGTCACGCAAAGGCTGCTCATGATCGACGGCGAGTTGTATCGTCTACACTACCGGATTCTAAGCACGAACGCTACTTACACCCGCTTGACCTACAACGACTGATGCGCACCGAGTGCCCGAATAAGGATAGAAATTAAAATGATAAATAAATAAATCAAGAAATGAATAAATGAAAACAACTTCAACACAAAAGATGGTATGGATAAAAGCAGGTGCAAAAAAACACAGCGCACGCGTCCTTGGTCTCACCTGGACGACAAAGCTCAATGCGGCAGTAAGAAGACGCGTGTAGCACTCGTCTCAAGCAAAATGGTGGATCATAGCTGCGAAGGAGCACACATCCAACTGTGAGAAGAGGTCAAGCGTGCAGACTTATCCAGCCCTTCACCCGCACAAGCGGTGCTTCCGCACGTCGTCAGATTCATAGACTGCGCACTCGATCGATTTGTGTTCCGCGGCGGAAAGCAGAAACCATCCGGTGCTTTACTCGGGAACAAACACCTTGATAATAACAGCAGTGGTAACAATACTTAACAATAACAGGAAAACCAACTAAGCCCAGTCAACGTCCATGTCGAAACACATCCTGCTGAGATGTTGGAGCGAAAGTTGAGATCAGTCGATCGTGTCTAGACGCGAAGCCACAAATGTGTAGCCTAGAATCCATGAAACGCCTGCTCGAACTCAAACACGGCCAGCGACCACGTCTTTACATCTGATATTCGATAATCTCTCGAACGCGCGAGATTGCCGTGGTCGTTAACCAACATGAGATAACACCTTCGGCTTTCCACGTTTGCTTAAAGGACGCGGCTGCACGCACGAGAAACGAAGCAAATTTCGACCACATTTGGTTTCCCGGATTTCGGTTTGTGACCCGGGCGCCGGGACGGAGGGAATAAAAAAGACCTTGCTGACGTGAGCGACATCACCCGTATTGTCGAGCGCCTGCCCAGCATCGACACAATTTTACCTCGCTCGCCAACGTCTACCGACTTTCATAACCCTCGCGATTCCCCAGTGAACCACTCCGCGACGCGATTACAAATTCCGAAAAGCTCATTGCCGTCACAGCGTGACCATCTCTCCTGCAGCAATGGGCCGCTGCCAACATTCCTAGATCATCGGCTTCAGACTCGGGTTCCGATTCCCGGACGCTGAAATTACAAAGCCTATGCCACCAACTCGGGCGATCTACGTGGACTGCGATTAACGCGCTGCGGGAGTTACTGAATCTCAAGGTTCCAAGTTCCGTGGCGCGGCTGCGAAATATTCAGTTCCTAACGTTGGACCCTCGAAGTGAAGACGAAGAGACACCACGTCATGTTAACGGGCGCATTCTACAAGGATCGCAGCCGACGACAGGCCGCGAAGCAAGCAAGTAAACGGTCGCCGCGCTAAATCAGAATAATGCAAAAACGACAAGAAAAAGGATTTTAGGAGCTTATATCAATCAATTGCGGCTTAAAGCGTACAGGAGCAGTTCGACTTTACCAGGTGCGGACTGCATGGGGCGTCAACGAAGCGGACGTACGGGTACTAATCCGGCGAGCTTCATCGAGGAAGCGGAAGGCGCGAACGCACTATCCTCCAACCCGGCGCCAAAAGCAAAATCTTGTCGTGAACAGCAGAACAAAGCGGCTATCTCGATCGCCCGCAAAGCCGGCAGACAAATCGTACAAGTGCACATCAAAGGCCCCGCCTCGTCCGCTTTGGCGTAGCTTTCATCCGGATGTAGCAGCGAAAAGAGAAGTCGCGCTCACTAAGATCCCAAGAGGACTACGAACTGGAGGCGGAGACCTCAATCGAAAACTGCCTATATCAAGTAGCTTTGTCCTTTAGTCTGCGGGTTTATAGTAATAGTTCTGGAGGCGGTCCGTTTCAAGATGCAACAAGAGATTCACAAAGAACAGCACCAGCGGACGAGCGGTGACGGCGAAATTTCAAGGCCATCCAAGAGCAGCGGGACGCATTCAGAAAACGAAGTGCAAAGCATGGAATCCTAGGGCGCGAGGAGCATGATCATGATCAGACAGAAAGACAGAAAGGCGGACAGACAGACACCTGCGTTGCGGGAAGAGAGCTGGAAATGTCGGGACGGAGACACGAAACGCACTAATGAGGAAGGCAGGAGGAGGAGGCTTAAGAGAGAGAGAAAGAGAGAGACCAGAAAGAGTAGTTAGTAACTGAGACTTATATTAGAAAGAATTAAAAGAAGAAAAAAAACCTACGATAATAAATAACAGCTGAAAACCTTCCTGTGGACAACATCAAGAATGAAGGTGTCATAGAGGTTTGAAACATACAATAAGGTTCTTACCTGACGGAACAATTGAATGCCTGAAGGAAGGTTCTGTAGCAGTAATTCCGAGATTAAGACGATGAAGCTAGAAGCGCAGAAGCGTTTAGGGAAGATTTGAAGCACAACAGGAACAGGAGGGTGACCAGACCAGAGCAGTCCAGACCACCTCAGAGAGAGCTGGGAGGGGAACGCTCGCTCTCTCCCTCTCTCTCTGGCTCGCACGGCCATGGAGCCCTCCCTCCCTGCCTCACTCCCTGCATTGATTGATTGATACCCTCCCCTGCCAGGTGATCCCTCGCTCCAGTATACCTGGGACGACGTCTCGGCTTCTGGATTTACGAGTGCACCACTGCATAGCATTGCTGCTGCTGCTGCACCTGCGCCTCCTTCTTCTGCCTTAAAACAACATTGAGACCGGCCAGTATAATATTGCGCCTCCTTCTTCAAGGATCCTCTTCCTCGCCCATATATAATATAATACTAGTCATAGCTCAAGTACATCCATCTTCTTCCTTCTCAACTAACTGATTCCAACCCTATTATTAGCTCTATTATGTCTTCACTCCTTTCTCTGCTTTGATATCTTTGTGCTCTTCCAGGGCACTCTCTCCTCTACAAAGGCTTGCCATTCTTGATCAATCTCACTTTTTTAAGTTTGCAAGCCAATTTAATTCTAAGTATTGCAATGGTCAGCTTCTAGATCGAATATCATGTTGCCTAATCCCATTTTTAAATTAATCATATATTATGCTTAACAACAATTTTGTATTTGCAAAGGATTTTTTTCACTAAGATTTCAACCATGGTTTGAAGATAAAATTTACATTAACCCGGTTTTTATATTCTTTTTTCTTTTTGTCTCTTATATATGATTGAAATCCTAAAAGCCAAATAAATATGTATAAAAAAACGTGATAATCTCTTTGTTTTATTATAGTACATAGATTTTCAAAACATGATATTTAATTCATCATATTTTTGTAGTTATTTTTAAAATCTCATCATAATTTAGTTTGAATTTTTTTATAAACTACACATGTCTAGTTACTTTTAGAATGATTTCTTTTGATATGTTTTCTAATAAAAAATAAATCAATTGTGATATATATCAGTTTTTTATTTTATATTTAATTTTGGCTGTTTAATTTATTTAGTACAATTGTGCAAGGATTTTTTAAATATTTATAGAATATAATCTTCTATGAAAATTAATAAATTTAAGTTAATGAAATTGTAAAAATGTCATTTGTATATATTTAGATATATAAATTGATTATTTAATATATATATATATATATATATATATATATATATATATATTTGTATAATGCAAGATATTCAATCACAATAAGAATAAATTATTTTATATTTACTGATATAAATATATTTTTGTATGCAATGACATCATATTAAAATTATAAATTTTTTTCTCCACTAGTTTTAAAAAGAAATAATAAAAAAATATATATTATACCATACATATTTTAATTTCATAAAATTATTTTTTAAATTATTTAACCACCAAATAGATATATTATAATATAAATTCTATTAGTCGTGTAGACCTCCAATTAAATTTTGACTTGTATAGGTAGTTAAAATATAATTTAAGATATAATTAGTTATATAAAAAGATTAATAAATTAGAAAATACATGTTATAATATATTTTTAATTGTATGTTTTTTACAAATTAAACAATTTATTTTGAAAAGCATCAAGATTATATAGAAGTTATTTTATTATTAGTTAATAAAATAAATCAATTAATTATAAAAAAATGTGGCATATGAATAAAAGAATCTAATTAAAAACATATTTTTAGTAATTTTATTATTTAATTTTTTCATAAAAAATAAGCAATAATATATTAACTTTTTACAAAACACAATAAGAAAGAATAAATCAAATAAGATATTTACTTTTATGTACTAACAGCCAAACTTAGATATTATAATAAAATTTTGAAATTTTATATGCTAAAAAGAGTTTGTTTAATATTTGTGATTTTTTTAAGTATTTTTATCTAAATTTCAATTTAATATTATATAACACATATAAACCTACTTGTATCTAATATTCCAGTAGTGAGAAAAATAATGAAATTATTATTATAAAAAAAAATTAATTGTTTAATTCCAAGAATAGCAATTTAATATTTGTATATGGACTAATTTTGAAAGAATATTTAAATTTAAAAATACTTTTTGTACAATTAACACGACTACAGGAGATTCTATAATATTCTATAAAGTTGTACAAAATTATCCTTATGAAAAAAATAAAATTACAAAAATATATACTATTTTATATAACTTTTTTAGCTACATAAAAAAGTTAAATAATTTATGTGAGTTTTAGAAAAATATAGTTCAATTATTTTTAAGAAATTATAAGATAAATTTATTTAATATAAAAAAAATCTAGAAACTAAACTAAAGGTATTTTGTTTTAATAATAATTTAGGTAATCTTAAAAGAATTAAGAAATTATAAACTAAATTAAAATTAAATTAGTAGATTGATTTTTTAATATTAAAATTAGTAAATATAATTTAGAATAGTAAATAATAAATAGCTATTTAGAATAGAAGATACATCTATTATTAAATTAGGGATGCAATTTTTGTCACCAAAATATAAAAATTTATTTCAAATATTTAAATTTAACTACAACATTTGGGCATTGACTTAGTTAATTTTATTTTTGATTTGAATAAATGGGAACATATGCATTAACAATCTTCTACCACAGAAAAGTCTAAAAACATTTAAAAGGAGACGAAATGATATATAATGTAATATACACCTAAAAAACTAACAATGATATGGATATCCTAGTTCAAAAATATTAATCTCACATTAATGTCAATATTTAAAATTTTAATTTATTAAAATATATATCTATATATATATATATATATACATCGAACTTTTAAAAATAAGATAGTATTCAAAAAACAAATATGATTGCAAAAATAACTTTAAAAAATAGATATTAATACATCCAACATATTTAAATATTTATAAATTATTTACTGTGCATTATACTAAAAATATAAGTTTATATACTAAGCATCCAAACTAATTAAGTAAACTACTAAAATTATATCTATAAGTATTAAATAAGTTTGTAAAACTGTATTAATTAAATTTTTATATCAAAATTATTATATAATTGTAGTTTTTTTAATAAAATTTAAAAATCCTAATTTATTTTCTTTTTAATTCCTTAAATTTTATTATTAGATTTTTTAAAAAATAATTAATTACATCAATAAATCCAAATATATACTAAAATAAATCTTATTAAATAAATAAATCATAGATTTTATATAAGTAAAAACAAATATATATATGTATATATATATATATATATATATATATATATATATC